AAAGGTTCGCTGTGAGAAGTCCAATTATAATAATTGGGAACAAAACCGACAGCGTACAAATCATACCCAACTTCGTGTGGGTCTTTAAATTTGAGATTTTTACACTTTGAACATGGACATCTTATTTTATCACCACTCATATAAGCCGGATGTTCAAGTGCAAATTCAATAAATTCCCCGACTCCCTCGAGAAAATTTGATTGCATTCCGTACAATACCGCATCTTTATCATACATCCAACTTCTATTTTGTTTATACATTATGCCTGAATATTATAATAAAAAATTATATGAAATGCAATGCACACAATTTGAAGTAATTTATTTCACTAAATAATCAACTAATTTTCACTAAATTAAATGAAATGCACACAATTCACAACAATAATGCACAAAATATAAGTAATTACCTAATACTTAAATTTAACTAATATTATAAAAAATTTAAGTAATTTATTAACACTACATTTAAATTAAACATACATTTAACTAAATTTAACTAATTCATTTAGTTAAATTTAACTAAATTTAACTAGTTCATTCCGTCCCCTTTTAATGCATCACTACGTTTAAACCTACGTTTAGCTAACTAATTTAACTTAATTAACACATCACTAGCTACGTTCAAACCTACGTTTAGCTAACGGATTTTAATTAAATTATTTTTGTAAACCTACGTTTAAACCTACACTAAATTATTACGTTAATGACATTTAATCTTATTAGTAATACACAATTAACAATTCACTAAATTAAATAATATGACCAAATTCAACCCAATAATTTGAACATGTATATAAAGTCATTTGAATTAATAAACAATACACAATTCACAATAACAATTCACAATTCACTTAATTAACACATTATTAACGTACATTTAACTAACTAATTTCACTTAACATAAACATCATTACGATTTAAACTACAATTAGCTAACTAATTTTAATTAAATTATTTTATAAACCTAAAAGTTTAACTAATTTTAATTTATGACATTACTACGCTTATAGTTAAATATGTTGTTAATTAATTAACAACCTCACTAATTTAATAGTTTTAATAATTTAAATTGAACCAACTAATTCTAAATAAAAATAATTATTCAAATAACATACCTTATCTGCATAAACAGGAAAAATGATAGAAGATAGACTACATCCTTTGATCTTTCAAACAGATACTGTATATACTGGGAATGAATTGGTGTGGTTCTGTTGAATGAGCTGCTCCTGCATATATAAAAAATTTAGTCACGGACTTAGTCACGGATTTGTCCGTCACTAAGCAAAACCGTGTCCATTACGCGTCCAACCCATGTTAATGACGTGTAAATGACGTGTTAATCAAAGTAGTCACGGAAATAGTCACGGACATGGCCGTGACTAAATTTATCCGTACATAATACCGTTGCGAATTAATTTATGGGAGGTGGAAAATTAAATTTTAACCATAGTCACGGCTTTAGTCACAGATGTGGCCGTGACTAAGTCGCCGGAGTAAAACAAGCCAGGCCGGAAAATCAAACGGGCCTATCGGAGGATTTTAGTCACAGACCACGACCGTGACTAAGTGTAGTCACGGTCATAGTCACGGTCCAAGCCGTGACTATTTTTTTTTAAATTTCCGTGACTAGTCCGTGACTAGTGTAGTCACGGACCAAATCCGTGACTACGCGCGTGTTTTTTTGTAGTGACCATATTAACCTGAGCAGAGAGATGAATCACTTTGTTCATCTGTTTCATTGTTCATAAGAATTCATACATTTATGTGATGGAACACGTAAAGGCTAACAAAAGCTAACTTCCCCACCGGGAACACCAACTCTTAGACTTTTTTTTTTTAATTGATAAAGGGAAAATAGTACAATGCGAAAAAGGAAAGAGGAAATACATTACAAAAAACGGAAAAGTGAGAAAACTAGATACAAAGCTAGTCCCATGGGAAGTCTCTGGATTGAGATCGTGTGGTCATGCTATGACGCCTTTTGTTCTTCTGATTTTTCCTGTAAATTTTTAGCTGCTTGTTCAGGTTATCAGTTGGCAGACAGTTTAACTAGATACACCAACTCTTAGACTATGTGTACTCATCTTGAATGCAAAGGCATGAGGGGGATATATTGCAGGTCTCATCGATCTTTACTGCCCATATATGTAGAGGCATGAAGCACGGATACTTCCCTAGGGTAGCGTATCGGCGTATCCGATACGTTCCCGTATCCGATACTCTAGGATACCCGTATCGTACGTTCCCGGGCCGTATCTGCAATTTTTAAAAGCTTCTATTTTTTTTTTTGTAATTTTTTGAAAGTTTCCGATACTCGTATCCTGACGGATACCCATATCAACTTTTTTTAAAAAAAAAATATCCCAAAATTTACTTAATAAAATTCTAAACAAAAATTAAAATCTAAAACTCATTGTTCTAAAACTCGCTAGGCGCTAGTCGGGCGGTTGAGGGGCGCCTAGCGCCTAGGCGGCCGACTAGGCCGATTTTTTGGCCGACTAGGCCGATTTTTTAACCGACTCGGCCGACTAGGCCTCTACAGTTAGGGCCGCCTAGGCCGCCTAGGCCGATTAATCAGTCCGCCTAGGCCGATTTTTAGAACAGTGCTAAAACTACATTTTACTTGGTAATCAAATAATGGGCCTATATGGCTATATCCGAATTAAGTCATTAACTCATACTCCAAATTGGGTACTTGCACTTTTAATTTCAAGATTGTAGTTGTTTGACTTATTTCTCATTTTAAATTAATGACTCATTGACTACATTTATATTTCGAGATGCACTAGTGTATATGAGAAATATATTATGAATTTATTACTAAGTATCTTGAAAAATGAAAATGCTTCAATGCAATGAATAGGTAGACATCATAGGATATTATATGTATATATATTTTTTCAAAAAAAACTATTTTTAATATTTATAAATAGACCCCTATGACTTTTAATATTTGTAGATACACCCCCATAACTTTTAATATTTATAAATTAAATATGGCCCCGTATCCGTATTCTACTTTTTTTGGTTTTGACGTATGCCCGTACCCGTTTCCACGTTTCCGCGTACCGGTATCGGTGCTACATAGATGTAGAGCTGTTTCGTCTCAGGGTCAATTTGTACGTATATATATTTCGTATTTGTGGGAAAGCATGACTACTCTGGACTGTACATGTAATGAGCTTATTTATAAACTCCGTATGCTATTGAGGTCATATTCTAGAGTCTAGAGACATGGGAGCATTTGAGCATTTATTTCATGTTTGTATTGAAATTCCAAAGGCCATGAGTGGATTAATTCCAAATGCAAAAAAGCATCTCAAAATATATTCTGACATTAATGCTACAACACAGTTGAAAACGGAGTATAAAATATGGAGTACTTCTTTTAATAAATCAGTCAGCAACATCTCGAGAGCAGCACAACTTAGGTATCTAGAAAGCCAAGGGTGCTCAATTAATTCACATACTTAAATATTTATTGAGACCTTGCCAGAGAATTCCATCAGACTAATACTTGGCAGCAACATTTGCTCTCTCGAGAAACACAATATGAAGAAGCTAGACAGTCTTTATTCACTTAATTAATGCGTTTATTGAAGGACTGCTCTCCATTTAATGCTACGGTTCTGGTACACTCCTCATATTGCAGCACATTATGAACTTACACCTTTTTTGAATTTTGAATTCGAATTCAACTTGCCGCCCAATTTCCCTCCCAAACTCCCCCACACTTTTCCATTTTAATATATATATATATATATATATATATAGATATAGATTTATTGAGACCTTGCCAGAGAATTCCATCAGACTAATACTTGGCAGCAACCTTTGCTCTCTCGAGAAACACAATATGAAGAAGCTAGACAGTCTTTATTCACTTAATTAATGCGTTTATTGAAGGACTGCTCTCCATTTAATGCTACGGTTCTGGTACACTCCTCATATTGCAGCACATTATGAACTTACACCTTTTTTGAATTTTGAATTCGAATTCAACTTGCCGCCCAATTGCCCTCCCAAACTCCCCCACACTTTTCCATTTTAATATATATATATATATATATAGATTTAGTCATACCCTGGAGTAAAACTTTTAGTGTAGTTTATGAATTTTTATACCTTCAAATTATCTTCTATTTATAATCTGTTTATAATTAAATTTAATAATCATTATTTAAAATAATAAAATCCCTTCCAAATTATTGTACTTCTCGATTTGTCCAGTATATTTTCTAGACCTGTTTTCATGAATATTACTATATTAAATTCAAAAGACAAAATTATGGTTATTTTAAAATTTTCCAAAAAATGACATATCCAGTGACTAGTTCCGAGTGACTCATCATCTATCATGATTCATGACCTGTCATACTGAAATACATTATAATGACTTTGGTTTAGTTAGAATGTTTTTACTTCGACTATAATCTTTTCCAGACCAGATTAGACCAGACCAGACCAAACCAGACCAGACTTGGATAGTTAAAAAAATACAAAGAAACCAGACCAGACGAGACCAGACCAGTTCAGACCAGACCTAACCAGCAAATTACAGTCCAAGTAAAAACATCCTCACTCGTACACAGCAACTAGTCATATTTTTGTTCAGAAACATAATCTATCATATTGTTGTCCAGTGGAGGACCTAGGGGGGCCTACCGGGGCATATGCCCCGGCTTCCGGCCAGGAATTTCACTACTAGTACTTGGGGTAAAATAGGTGCCCCTGCTTCCGACCAAAAATTTCACTACTACTACTTCGGGTAAAATTAGTGCCCCAACCCGTACAAAAAATTATTAATATTAGATAATCAAGATACTAAAATGTTACGATTATATAAATTAACACTTAATACACAATATTTTAATTTTAGTTGAATTAAAATAAAATATATAGAATTCTCAAAAAAGGAGAAAAAGTAGTCAAAGGGCCAACTAAAAGTGATCTAAAACAACTGATAAAATTTTAAGGCCCAAAAAACGTTACTCGTATTAGTATTATTTCAGCCCAAACTTTACATCCCTTCTAGCGCCAAAGCCATCTGCCCAATTCAGGCATTCCAGCAATTGACCGAACTCGCAAAGCTCGCTGCTCGCTGCATCTGCGCAATTCAAGCCAGGCCTCGCAGTCTCGCACCAACGCCAAGCGCCCTGCTGCCCTGCCGCGGTGCCTCCCACCGCGCCGACTACCTCGCCGCCCACCGTGCTCTGCGCCTCCGCCAGTCCGCCTCCGGACCTCCACGGCTCCACAGTCCGGTCAGTTTCTGATTTTCAGCTTTTCCGATTTGTTTAGTTTACTAATTATTGTGAATTTGTTGAATTGTTGCATTGTTGTTGTTATTTGCTGATTTGGGGATGGTTTGTTTACTTGAAATTTGATACTTTGGGGATTGTGAATTCGCTCTACTTAAGGATTAGGGTTCTAATTTGTAAGGTTTTTAGTTTAATTTTTAGACTTGATTGCATTTGCCTTTTTTTATTAGGGATATGAGTTTGGATAACTTTGTAATTCGGACCATAGATACAGGGATTACTAACATAGCCGCGTTTTCCGTTCCGGATCGCGCGTACCGGATCGCGGTACAGTTGCGTTCCTGTCGCTTCTGGTTCGCGACTCCGGTATGGCGGATTCCGGTTGCAGTTCGCGGTTGCCGTCCAGGTGGTACGCTGTTTCCGAGTTGTGGTTCGCACGTCCCCTCCAGCGTCCGACGAACATCAGTCCAAGAGTCGCGTCCGTGAACTGCTTTTTCCAAGCGACACCGGGTCGGTGACGAACTCGGTAGTCTCTCTTTGTCATTTGCAGTTCAAAGATCGAAGCGATGGCTCACCGCTCACTCAAAGTCTGAAACGACTTTTTATTTCTTTAGATTTCACAGTTCGAACTTCAAAAAGCTAAATGAATTTAAGGACTGAAACGATGTTGCTTTTTCCAAGCCACACAATCTTTAAAGACTTCGTAGTTCACACTTCAAACCTTTGTATTTAATTATGGTACACAATTTTAAAAAAAAATTATGGTACACATAAGCAATTGATTAAAGATTTACTCATTGAAGTGAATTGTTTAATACTCCGTATTATATTAATTATATTTAATTAATTATATTTATACTTGGTAAATTGTACTGCACATATGTTTATGGCACATCGTACCATAACAAACGGTACAACGTTCCGCCTACCGAAATAGCGTACCGAAGAAGCCTACCCCCTCGCGCATCGGATTTCTAATATTCGCGATCCGCGTTTCCGTTTTCGTACCGCGTACCATAGCGTACTGCGATCCATGTGACTATGATTCGGACTAAAAGGTCTTTAACTCGAGGGGGATAGTTCTTCAAACGTTCCTAATCAGTCTATCTCAAGCGATGCAAATGTAGTTGCTCCGAATGTAAGCATTGTCCGAGATGAGTCTAATGACACCGGGGGAGACAAAAGAGACCGCACAGATAGTACGTGTGAGTGGGATATCATTAGCGATCCCGCATTACGAAAGCCAATCATTGAATATGAGCCTCGAGTAAGAGATGACGTGATGAGAGCGTATGTCGTTAAAGGTGCTTGTCTACCGTTGTCTCATAATTTTCCACGAACTTTATTTGGGAAAAAATGAGATGTTTTCGAGCAGAGTGGTTTATAAATTGGGAATGGTTAGAATATAGTATTTCTAAAAATGCTACATTTTGCTTTTGGTGTTACCTTTTTCATGGGGTAGAAGGGAAGAGATTTGGAGATGATGTATTTGTGAGGACCGGGTTTCGTAATTGGAAGAAAAGTCTTGAAACATTTAGATACCATGTAAAAGTTGTAAATGGGGCACACAATGATGCCAGAACACGTTTTTTTAATTTCAAGAATCAAAAGCAAAACATTTCAAGAAGTCTGGCTTCAGGAATACAAACATTGGGTGTTGCATATCGCACTCGTTTGAATGCAAGTGTGGATTGTGCTAGATTTTTAATTTCATAAGGGTTGGATTTTTGTGGGCATGATGAGAGAGAAACTTCACTGAATAGAGGAAATTTCTTGGAATTGCTTGATTGGTATAGTGCACGCAATGCCGATGTTGAGAAAGTGGTAAAAGATAATGCACCATCAAATCACCAACTAACTAGTCCTAAGATTCAAAAGGATATTATTAGTTCTTGTGCATCAGAGACAACAAGAGTCATACTTAGTGATGTTGGTGATAAAGTTTTTTCTTTGTTGATTGATGAAGCTCGTGATAATTCTGTGAAAGAGCAAATGGCAATTGTTGTTAGCTTTGTAAACGATACCGGAGTGGTTATAGAGCGATCCCTTGGAGTTAAACATGTTGTTGACACTACTGCACTTTCTTTGAAAAGTGGCATTGATGATTTTTTTGCAAAGCATGGATTATCTTTGTCCAAATGTTTATTTAAAACAATTATTGCTCACAAAAAATTTATAGGCTTGGGCATGTGCTTCAGTGAGAATCCTGTAGTGTATTACTCGTACTATATTTGCTTTTACGTCGAATTCGCTGTTAACTACTCCCTAAATCCATCGTTAGAGAAGGGGTTATTTGCCCTCTTTAAATGAAATAAAGAGATTTTGAATTAATTCCACTTTAGGTCCTCATAGTTTTGTGTCATTTCCATATTTAGTACTCGTCTTTCACTTTATCCATTTTTGGTACCTGACTATTGTTTTCTTGACCATTTGCGGTCTATCTCTGGGCATTTTAACTACCGGAAAAGGACTATATATAGTCAAGAAAACAATAGTCAGGTACCAAAAATGGATAAAGTGAAAGATGAGTACTAATTATGGAATTAGTGCAAAACTCGAAGGATAAGTGGAATTTCTTCGAGAGATTTTTGCCCCAAAACCCATTTTGCTCTATACTAAAATTACCAATATTTCTGAAAAAAAGGCACGTCTTTGAACCGTAGTAAGGTCATCTGTGATACTCGTACTAAAATTACTAATCTTTTCAGGATCTGCCCCTGCCTTTGCATCGTAAGATAATCTACCATCCTTGTCGCCCTACCCCAACCGATTTTTCACTGAAGCTACCGTCTCTATCTGGCTCACGCAATCGTCGATCAATCTTCAAGCAGCGCTGCTCGTACAGATCTCAATCAAATCAGACCCATCCTTGGTGATTTGGGTAGATTCAATCTTAAAAAACTCTTCTCCATTTAATTTCTTCCACCCAATCTGGACCTCAAAGAGAAACATCATTATTTCTCTTTTTCCGCATCATAGGCCTTGCGTGGAAGCAGATCCCAGAAATCTTTGATAGGTAATTTTCGTTTTCTTGTTCTCCCGATTTTTCTTTAGGCTTTGAATGGATTTGTTCTACTTGTGTTTCATGCTCCGTTTGTATCCTCCTCTTGATGGCTATGTATTTTCATTTGTGTTGTTGCATATGTGTGAGAGTGAAAAAGTACTCTGTATAGTTTTGTTTTAGCTACCTGGAGAAAAGTGGAAAATCTACATAAAGTTATTTGTAAATGAGAAAATGCATATTATTCTATTTATGGTGCATTTTTATGTAGATTTGTTCATAGCAGTACATAATATCACAAATTGTACTCCATATCTTTTATCCTGAATACAAAAGATTAATTTACAGAGATACTCCATTGAGTTTATTTAACATATGTTTTTGCCTAGTATATGCAATGCATGCTTTGTGTATCTAGAAGAAGTTAACCTAAGCCGTTAGAGAATATGTTCTGTTTTGCAACCTAAATTAGAAACTCTTATTAATATTGGAATATTGGAATTCTTCCACTTTCAAGATCAAATAAAGATTTGGAATTTTAATTGTAAGAGCATATTGATTTCCAAAATATTTAATAATGTTATTCTTAAAAATTGGTCACAACACTTATTTCTGATCTCTTGATACATAGTTATGTTTAAAGAATGAATTTCAGTGTCCATTGTCTATGACTATCATATAGGATTTCCACATCACTTGTCTACAAATCAATCACATTCATTTTTTTCTTTCTAATGAACTCTTAAAACTGACAGAGGATGAAACATTTTTTCTGATGTGATTCTAGAAAGAGTTCTATTCTTATTTTTTTGAAAAGACAAGTTTGACATATGTAACCATATCGGTAGAATGTGATTTTAAATTTCATTTTTAGTAGTATGGGGGGTAAGTTTTTATGACGAGGTTAAAATTTAGTATTGTCTTTCTTTTTCATGTTAAAAAGCAAAAAGGTCAAACTAATTCGTTTATGAAGACTATGTTGTGAGCTTGTGATTTTATGTTGTAGCACCATGAGAAGTGTATTTGAACAGTGAGAATTTTCTTAGTCCTTTTTCTTGGCCATTATATGAAGTAGTTGTATGTTTCGCAAATCGTAGAACTTTGATCAGCTTAGGATTAAGAAGAAAAGTCAGTACAAACTTCTTGCATTAAAGTTATGTTCTCAAGAAATAAAGGAAGCAACCTTGTGAATGGTATAAAACTATTACAGTTGTACTAATCAAATGAGAAGTATGATGTTAGGAACCCGGGCCTAATAGACTAATAATAATAATAATAAGGGACCGGGCCTATTAGGGTGAACGCCTTCAATTTGCTGAGGCACTGATGCGGACTGTGGGGCGCAAGGCGTACACGAGGCGTTCGCCTCTAATTTTACGCAAGGTTGGGCCTTTTAAAAAAAATATTGGGGGCCTCGATTTTTTTCTCTCCTAAAATATAGAATACCTGGATGGTTTATTACTTAGCCACAACCTTAGGTTTTCCAAGTTCCAATCGCTGGTCTTTCACCCTACTACGATATTAAAAAATTAGAAACAACAACTTGAAGAAGAGCTGCTCGATTAGCCTGGTGTCTCATAGTCTCAGTCGAAAGGTCATACATAAGAAGCATTAGAAAAATCATTAAAAAAACCATACTGGTTATAATCACATACATCTTATATGGATAATCCTTTCTCGTTCCTACCTAATGAAGCCTTGCGCATCATGCTCATCATGTATTCTACAGCTCACGAAAATGGAGCAGGCAGGATACTTTGTTTATGGGATTAAAATTTAATAAAATTGGGGTGATGAATGATGGACAGGCGTGAAAAACCCAACACTAAACAGCCATTTATAAAGGTGTATTGGAGGATTAAGTTTAAGCTATACATTTAAATAGAAGTTCAGATATAGAAATTATGCACGGGAATCATATAGCGATTTGGTTTTCATTAATTTTGGCATCCATCAGGCAAAGCAAGTTTGCTGAAAAATCTTTCCTCCATAAAAAGAAAGATTCTCCTTGATGGTTTGGGCTTTGGATGAAGGTTTCCGCATGTGCATCGAAATGTTTTAATAATAGAGAATCATCAAACACTGTTTCTTGTGAAACTGTTAATGACTGTCAACTTTAACACTGTTTGATAGAGTTCTTTAGTAAAAAGTATTTTTTACAATGTTCGGGCGTGCACCATAATAAGATAGAGATATTTAGGCGGGAACACTATTCCAAAAACATTTTCCTTTTATATAATGATGATGATAGATTTCTAGATTGATTGTCTTTTTTGGTCTAACAAATTATAGGATTATCATATTATTGTGTATGCTTTTATTTCTGTCGTGTATTTAATTAATTAATAACTTACAAAAAGATCGACAATTAGTTGTTTTAATAACTATTGTATGGATAATATGTTACACTAATACTGCGTATTAAGAATGTAACTTATATTTTTAAAAATAAGCATGACATTATACTACCTCCTCCGTCCCTAAAAACTTTGCAATCTCGTAAAGTTAGGACTATGATTTTGATTAGTACCACCTATGTCCCATTTTATGTGTCTTCTTTTGGTTTGACACAATTATTAATATAGTGGTTGAAAAATAAAAGTTGTGGTTAAGATTTGAGAATAATAAAGTGAAATGATGTGGACCACATATTTCTTTCCAAAAAAAGAAATGTGACACTTATTTAGGACAACCGAAAAGGAAAATAGGACAAATAAAATGGAACTGATGTAGTATAATATTATGGAAGTTACAAATTTTATACTTTTATGAAAGTACTTTTGACAAAGAACATTTTCATATCATTTTAATATTATAAATAATTTCCAATAAAAATATATAGTTGGTCATCCTACCCCCTTACCACACCGCAGGTGGGAGCCTTCGCGACACTGGGGTAATGATGACGATGACGATGACGTCAAAGTGTTAAAGATGAAGAAGTATTTGGAGACGGAGGTAGTATCAAAGAAGACCAAACCAGTCTAGACCAATTCAGTCTCAACTAGACCTGACAATTTCTGCCTAATAAAAAAGAGTAAAGTCTTGACATGTTAGTTCAACTACGTGAGGAACTAAATTTGGTTGATTTTGAATAGATAACATTAGACATGGTGCTTAGTTGTGTGCGAGAAGTAGTAGAAATCTCTTGTTTGTTTAATAGTCTAAGAAAAAAATTGGATGTGTACTGCTAGTACTTTATCTTAATTGTTTTTAATGACAGTAATGGCCGGGCAAAACCAGCGCTTAAATGTGGTCCCTACTGTGACAGTGCTTGGCGTGGTCAAAGCTCGCCTTGTTGGGGCCACGAGAGGCCATGCCTTGCTCAAGAAAAAAAGTGACGCTCTCACTGTGAAGTTTAGACAGATCCTAAAGAAAATCGTTTCCACTAAAGAATCAATGGGAGAGATCATGAAAACTTCTGCCTTTGCTCTGACAGAGGCCAAATACTCAGCCGGCAACAACATCAAACACACTGTTCTAGAAAATGTGGGGACCGCAACTCTCAAGGTGCGTTCCCGTCAAGAAAATATAGCTGGTGTCAAGCTCCCTAAGTTTGAGCATTTCTCCGAAGCAGGAGAGACAAAGAATGACTTGACAGGGTTAGCTAGGGGCGGGCAACAGGTCCAAGCCTGCCGTGTTGCCTATGTCAAAGCAATCGAGTTGCTTGTTGAGCTGGCGTCCTTGCAAACATCGTTTCTCACACTTGATGAGGCAATCAAGACCACAAACCGGAGGGTCAATGCGCTTGAGAACGTTGTGAAGCCGAGGCTGGAGAACACGGTTAACTACATCAAGGGAGAGCTTGATGAGTTGGAAAGAGAGGACTTCTTTAGGTTGAAGAAGATACAAGGGTTCAAGAAGAGAGAGATTGAGAAACAGATGGCCGCCGCTAGACAGTTTGCTGGGGAGAAGGCCGCTGAGGATTTGTCTTTGAGAAAAGGCGTTTCGCTTGGCGCTGCACATAACTTGTTGTTGACCCCACAGCATGATGAGGATATCATTTTCTGAGGTGGATGGTATATATATAGAGACATTGTTGATGGACAAATCTCATCTGCTGAATAAGACAGACCTATCTGCAGGCCGGCTTTTATTCTTTGAACCATTTGGATACAACTTCATATGTTTATTATTATGTGAACATGAATGCCGATCCCAAAATCTTTTGGCAATAAGGCTTTGTATGTTGTTATGGTTGAATGTCAACTTTTATTTCTGCGGTATGGATGAATTACTTTGTAGTTTGTACTCTTGATTAATATGAATGTATTTTGTGCATTTTGTTTCTTTTCCCAGCAGTTCCAACTGATGTGAGCTTAATATTATATATATATATATATATATATATATATATATATATATATATATATATATATATATATATAGGAAATCTTTCCGGTAAGGTATACCTTACCGGAGCCGCCGTGCAGCCTCCACGTTTTGAAGGTCTTCCCGGTGGAATTTTTCGATGAAATTTTTTGAGCATGTTCGTCATCAAGTCTAGTACATCCATACCAAATTTCAGCAAAAAATTCAATCGGGAAGGCAGCCAAACGATTTTTGGAAGATAACTGCGTTTTATATGTATATAAAGGGTGCAGTTATCTTCCAAAAATCATTTGGCTGCCTTCCCGATTGAATTTTTTATTGAAATTTGGTATGGATGTACTAGACTTGATGAAGAACATGCTCAAAAACTTTCATCAAAAAATTCCACCGGAAAGGCCCTCAAAACGTGGAGGCCGCACGGAGGCTTCGGTAAGGTATACCTTACCGGAAGAGTTCCCATATATATATATATATATATATATATATATAGAAAAGATCCTGTCCAGACGTCCGGACAGGAGCCGCCGTCCGGCCGGCGGCGTTTGGCCGCCTTCCCGGTGGAATTTTTTGATGAAATTTTTATGGAATGTTCTCCATCAAGTCTAGTTTATCCACAAAAAAATTCAGCCAAAAACTCAATCGGGAAGGTCGTCAAATGATTTTTGCAAGTTAACTGGTCCGGAAAATACATATTCCGGACCAGTTAACTTGCAAAAATCATTTGACGACCTTCCCGATTGAGTTTTTGGCTGAATTTTTTTGTGGAGAAACTAGACTTGATGGAGAACATTCCATAAAAATTTCATCAAAAAATTCCACCGGGAAGGCGGCCAAACGCCGCCGGCCGGACGGCGGCTCCTGTCCGGACGTCTGGACAGGAGCATTCCTCTATATATATATATATATATATATATATATATATATATATATATATATAATATGTGAAATCTTATTCTTCCAAGTAGGAAAAAGATGCTGTTTAGACTTTAGATCTTCAAAGTTTCAACAAAAGCTAAGGATCAACACTTCTCTAGTTCTACACTTCTACCCTCGGAAAAAATACAGACCTAATAAAATAGTTCGTGATACTATTGTTTTAATAAAAAATAATTTTAAATAATACCAACTAGAAATAATTTTTGAGTAATATGAATCATTTGAATAAATTGATATGAAGCCTTTTTCCAACTACAAATTGAATAGCATACCACATAAAAATGATATGAAAAAGTCAAATTAAAGTTATCTTGAAATAAAGTGACACTTAATTGACATTTTATATAGTTTTTTATGAGTAAAATGAATGAATTTCTAGTGAAAAAGTATTTATGTATCAATTTTTTTTATATAAATTCAAGCTATTTTCAAAGGACATATTATTATTATTATTGTTTTACGAGTGATAGTTGATATTATTACAAGTATTTCTCATTCTCTTGATCATCCCTTCTCTTCCTTCTCCCTCTATTAGTCATTTCTTCTTCTTTAGTTTCTGCCATTACTGTCTTTATTCATTGAAATTCGGAGTAGTAGTAAACTAGTAATGGAGAATGGATAATGGATAATGAGTGAGTGAGAGGTGAAAATATTGGATCATTTAGGTTTGTCACGAGGAACAATGGTGGAATAAATAATGAAAAAGTTATTGACAATATTTAGTAATTTAAATGGGAGGACTATGTTTGGGCAATAGTTAAAAATAAATTATAGACAATGATCGAAAAAGATGGACATTATGGAGTTATGCAAATGGCCAAGACGAGTGAATCTACTCTGGTAGGCCATGAGACAAATGGCGATGTGACTGACAACGAATGCGGCAAATTTGAGCGTAATATTTTTTTCAAGTTTTGGATTATTTAGGGCAGGGAAGGGCATTTGAGTATGTGAATTATACTTATGTCTCTAATCATACTCCCTCCTCTTAAATTTTTTTTCTTCTTTGAACTTTTTGGCTAATGAAGTTAATCTTTGCCCAATTATATACTACTATCAGGGGCGGCCCTAGGGGGGTGCAAGTGGGGCGGGCGCCCTAGACCCAAAAAAATATGGGTAAAAAATAGGCCCAAGTTTAGTTCTTTGTAACAGATGTGAGTAGGCTGATTTATGCGGCCCTAAAGTAACAATTTTTCGAGTGGAATTTGTTGAAGTTCTTCTGAATGTTTTCTATGAAGTTTAGAATATGTGAGAAAAAATCAGTTTAAAGTAATTTAGAAGTCACTTAAATAAATTATTGAAAACACTGCTTTTTATACATATTTTGGCGCATTGTGTTTCAATAATTTATTTAACTGACTTCACGATTGCATTTTAAGCTGAAATTTTATGGACATAATCTACACGCGATGAAAAACATTCTCTTAAAATTTCATAAAGAAATTTCACTCGAAAGCAGATTAGTCGGATATGATTATTTGATTAGTTTATTAATTGATCCATTCATGGTTGTTTGATTTCTTAATTGTTGATTGTTTTTTATTGAGTGTTGATATTATAACTTGTTGATTTTGTTAGACAACCATTTTCAATTATGATAAAATTATAAACTTAATTAATTTCAAAGTGTAGTAAAAAGGATTGAATCTGAATACGATAAATACAAAAAAAATAGAAGATTAGGGAAAGCGGCGATAAGTAAAAAAACACTCAATGGAAAAGTTTGTTTGTGTAAAGAAGACAAATTCTGAATGTCCTTCTCAAGATGAGAACACATAGTCAAATTCTAAATGTCTTAAAATATTATTATTATAATTATTATGCATGTCATTTAAGATAGAAAAGAGTTCTACAAATTTCTTGTAACATTAGGCTCATTTTTATTTTCCGCCCCTAGGCCTTTGAGCATACAGGGCCGCCCCTGACTACTATTTTAATACTCGTATAAGATTGATGTATTTTGATAGTCATATATATGTAGAAAAACTTAAAGTTATAGTCACACTGCAAAGATTCATTTTTCTTGGAGAGAAAAGAATCTCTGAGTACTTGTAAGTTGTAACATTGTATCCTTTAGGATGCCACTCAAGTTTTCAGGTGACCCACTGGTGGTAATTAACAACCATTGACCTTAAACCCTACTCATTTTAAGTTGCAGTGCTAACCAGATATAATTGAATGTGTTGGTTGATAAGTTGGTAAAAGTCTTGTATATTGACCTTAGATTTGGACTATTAGGTGGTTGCATAACTAGTGTAATGTCTCACCCTTTTTCTGTTGTTATCTGAGTAAAATCTTAATCTTGTGTGCTCATAATATGTAGCCTAGCATTGCCTTGTTCAGTGACCATTTTCCTTCCTAACTATGCTTGCCAATCAGTTTTTATAGTTGGGATCCATTTGGTGAGTAACGTGTCCCTATACACCGATTTCGGACTAATAAAATGAATTTTGTCTACATGGTCTGTTTTGGTCTATTTTTGCTATTTACACGCCTTGTCTTCTCGTTGTTCTCAGTTAAATTAAACATGGTTTTAGGGTTCTTGTACGGTCGAGAAGATAACCCGATATTGTCCTTTTGTTTAAAGAAATGACCTTGAAAGTGTTTAGAGCAATGGAAATTCATTTTCTAGCCACGCTGCCATTCAATTTGTGACTGACATCTATGCCCTCTCCGATCCATTATTGTACCTGGTTTTTTACAACGCTCCAAATTTTGAAAACTGCTCTTCTAGAAACTTCGAAATATCGTGCAGTTCTATTTATAATCACATGCCGAAGTTCGCCAAAATCATCAAGATTTTTGAGGAAATAATCCTTTATTTGTTCTGTTTCTATATTATTTGACAGTCTTTTGGTTCTTTTATCAGTGGTTTCTGGCAAGGAAGCCATTAATGAAGATGAAGTGTTTTTTTTTTTACCAAATGAAGATGAAGTGTTGGTTAGGGTAATGAGTGTAATTGAATATTTTTACTATTGTTTTCCCTTATATTTTAGACTGAACCAACTATGTAAAGTGTGCTGTTGAGGAGGGAAATGGTGATTTGTCATACATTTTCTCTCCTAAATGTATATTAATGTTGTGTGGCTTCAATGCATTTCCTTGTGTAGCCATAATTTCAAAGAAAAAAATGAAGCTAGAGTACACAGTAATAGGAGGGGGAAACTGGGATTAGACAGGTGAGCAATGATGCTCATATAAGGCAAAACAGATCTCATACCCTTTTCCTTGATCTTAAGCCCATGTGCTCCATTAAAATATAACCATGAAATGTCACTTAATTTGAAACGTAGGGTGTTTAAGATGGTAAGTAAACTCTTTACAGGGGAGCATCTATGTATAGGTTATAGTGGGGTACTACTGAAGCCCAGGACAACTTAAATTTTTTTCAATTTTTTTAATGTAAATACTTAAAATTTTCATATTTAGCCGCCCATTAGCTAGCATGTTGAAGTTTAGTATAATTTCTTTTCAGCACGAGACATTTCGGAATCCTGTATTCGGCCCTGTTTACATGCAATATGTAGGATTGGATATACGTAGTAGGGAGTATAACATTACGTACTATAACGTGTAGTTTATATTCCTTAATTAATAGTTTAGCCTAAGGAATATAAATATTAAATAGTTTAGTTAAAGTTAGTGTAGCAAAACAACTTAATAATAAAAAAGCCATATAAATATTTTAAAAATAAATAAATTACACATCCGTATTTATTTTACATTAAATGATTAGTTCCCTAAAATTTAAATGCAAATTTAATATAGCAAACTAAGAAACGACGTCCTCTTCGAGTAGTTCAAGATAATTGTATAAATTATGCATGTTTTTGCAATTTATATTATGTAGTTGATAAATTTGTCCATATTAATAACTTTTTCATCAAGATGTACAGTTTCAGGAAAACATTTCACCCCAAAGTTTGTTGCCGGCGAGAATTTCGTGTCGAAAATAAGAAAAAGTGTAAAAGTATTTAATTGAACAAATTTATTACAGAGT